CATGCCTATAAAACATGCTGGGACTTCCTATTGGGGGAGGCCGTATTGTTGGAGAAACAGGGTATATACATATTGTCAAAGTTAAATTATCTTTTTTAATAATTTGTTTATGCTTTTGAAAAATGAAAGGGACGTTCATTTTAATTAATATTAACAATTGAAAAAGCAAAATCCCTTATTAGCAGTTTCCCTAATCCACCTATAATTGTGTACCAAGCTATCAGTAATTCATTCAAATCTTCAGAAACTCAGTGAGAGCCAGAAAGCAATTGCCTTATTTTGAATCTCAAGGAAATGACTAGGACTTTAACCAGCCTAGCTTTTTCTTTTGTGTAACATAACTCATATTATTTGGCATTTATTATCTCAAAACATAATATTTTAAGTGTAACTCAAGTTGTACTTGCTATGCAATGTAGCCCAATTTTAAGAGAGCAGTTACAACCACTTTGTGATTGAAATAAATGCTGTTTAAAATTAGTGTTGTTAAGGGAAAAGACAGTGCATCTTTTCCCGCTTCCATCTAACCATTGGCAACTGCTTTATTATTTCATGTCCCTATGCTGTTGAATTCATCCATAAGTGAAACAAGTATTTCTTAGCTGTTCTGTTTTAAAATAGCTCCAGTACCCCTTGGCACATTTCTGGCATTTCACCCATGCTGATGTCTAGATCTCCTCCTCCTCTTCCTCCTCCTCTTCCTCCTCCTCCTCCTCCTCTCTCTTCCTCTTCCTCTCCTCCTCCTCCTCTCCTCCTCTTCTACTTTTAACTGTCAATTTTCTCAGCATATGGAGAAACTAAACAATAATGGAAGAGTGGACTCTATTACACAGCTGCCAAACAACTGTTGGCAACTGATTTTGATGCTTCCTCGGAAGAAGAACTAATTCTGTGCTTACAACACAGTCTCTGAATAATGACCTGCAGCTGGGAGATGTCAGTTGTTTGGCAGGCTTATTTTGAGCCTGGATTTTGTGGTGTCACAATAATCATATGGACGGCTGATCAGGAACTGCTTGATAAAGCAGGAGAGGTGACCCTCACAAAACGTAGTAATTCCTGCTGCAGGTTTTCAGAAAATCAGTTCTGCTTGATTACCATCTCTCTCACTTTTGATAAGTAAATTCTTCTGTTTGGTCTGTGTGGTAAGGAAGAAAGAGAGGGTCAGCTACCTTCCACAGTCTCCCAGCCCTACTTTGCATCAATACCAGAAAAGGTACAAAATACAGGAAGGCAAGATTTCACTATTCAGTTGTCTCAAGACACCTTGCCCATGTGAAGTCAGAATATCACCCATCAACACCAAATAAAAAAACCCAGAAACAATAGATGCAAAATTTGGCATTGCCTTCAAAAATGCCAGAGCTTCTAATCTCTTGCTCACACTTGAAAAGTTTTTAACAATTTTTTAATTGTTATCTCAATTGAGATAATCAAAACAAAGTTGAGAAAATTAGAAGAGGGGAAAAACTATGTAGAAAATATAAAATGGTAATAAGATATGGAATAGAATATAAAAATGAGCATGAAATTGAGTTTTGTGTCTGTATGAAGAAGTGATAACCTGGGACCATGCTATTTTCAAAAAAGATGTTTTATTTGTATTTTGTTTTTGTGAAAACCCAAATAAAATTTTCAATTTTTTTTTTTAAATTGTATATAGATAGATACATTTCTACTAATCAAAGAATGATTGGATAGTACTTAAATAGAAGTAGAGAAAGACCCAATAATTTGAAAAGGATCTATACTGTTGTATACCTTCTTGCCTTCAAAATTTAGAAGATAAACAGTATATTTATTTGATTCAACAATTGTTTAAAATATAAAAAGCATTTATATGAACATTAGATGTACAAAACAAAGCAACATAACAGTTAACCAATTCAAAATAAAAAGACTGTTGATAACCTGCACAGAATGCCATAAAACCTTTATACGTCATTCGCTGGCATGAAAAGTACAAAAGTAATAGGCATTGATTTATGCCATCTGCATATGAATGCTGGAAGGAACATCTACTTGTTCTCATTGTTAAAGCTAAAATTACAAGTCTCTGTTTTTTCTTTGTATATATGCAAATGCATTATTTAAAAAATATATTAAAAGCTTAAATTTACATATTCTTATATTAAAAAGCATAGAAGTATAAAAGAATGGTTGTATGTTGCCTTTGCTTAAGCAGAGTGCTGATTTTAAGCTTTTTTAAAACAGTTGAAGACTATCTGATAAATTATATATGAGAGAGGGGGGAGGGAGAGAGGGAGAGAGAGAGAAATGGTTAGGTTCATACATTATTCTAAGCCACAATTGTATCAACCTTGGTTTGTGTTGTGCTCACTTTGGCAGCACATATGTATGCTAAAAGAGGAATGATACAGCAATAATTTTTGGGATTTAGGCATCACAATAAATCAGGAACAAATAAGGCATGTGATGGCTTTGTACACCATGTTAACCAAATCTAAGTGCCAATATAAGCATCATAATGAATTAATTCTCAATATAAATTATAATTAAGCTTATTGGTTTGGGGATTGAAAAGAGAAAGAGAGATATGATTTCACTGCTTTGTACCTCTTTTTCAGAATGTTAGAGGATGTAGCAAAGTAATTAATTTTCACTCATTTTTGACATATAACTTACAATTTCTTCAGCTTAGAAATGACACAGCTGAATAAACACATATTTGCATTTATGATTGCTCTCTTCAAACTAACGGTCTGATGTGCCAGTTCTAACTGAAACAGTACACCAGAAGGAAGCACTTAATTAAATAACTGGTTGAAAGGTGATGTGAATCTATGTTTAAACAGTAATTGCTTGTTTAGAAATCAAAAGGATGCTTAAATGAGTGATCATATAAAAGTAGTGCTTAAAAAATTGTATATAGGAAGATGACAAGTACACAGTCAAGGGTAAAATCAGCAACTTCTTTGCTAATGTTCAAGCCAAACTCATTCTAATCTTCCATAGACCTACAAGATATCCAAAAAAATTCAGATTAAGTGGGATTTTGAAATCCCCAAGGCATCCAGGGCAGAAGAGAATGAGATTTCCAAATTAAGTGGGACATTCTGGCTTTTTGAGATCTTCCACAGTCTGGTCCTGTTTTTATTGACATTTGGTTTATCAAATGTCTCTGTACTGCCAGTTTGGGGAGAAGCATCCTTGATGTAGGCATGTGTTAACTTCCCAAACTAGGACAGTATCTTGGTTTCCAGATGTCCATCCCAATCACCTAGTAGCAGCAGTGTGACAGCAGAAGTCTCACCTTCTGAAAGCAGTAAAGTATTGAAGGGTAGTATAAAATGATTTGAAAAACAACTCACTGTAGCCAAAGCTGGAGCATAGAGAAAAGCTTATCTCACATTGGTGCACATGAGATAAACCTAATTCATTTAGAGCTTAAGAAACAATTTCCAGTATGGGAATTATGCAAGGAAAAACATTAGAAACTATTTAATTTGTTACAATTTTCCCCACATGTAAACTGCTCATTGACATCCTAAAATCTAACTAAAAATTAGGTGAAATAAAAAGATAAAGGAAAAAGGAAATTAACTGTTATGTGTATCTCAATACTATAGCTTGCATGGCCAAAATGCATGGCCAAGAAAGTCACACTGTGTTAAATTGTTTTTAACGTTTAGTCCATAAAATTTATAAAAATAAATAAAAAGATAATTAAATAATTGAACAACAAAAGGTTTAATGTGGCAACACCAATACATGCATGTATGGGTTATGGTAGGTTGGCCACCTCCTACTAACAAGTATCTCTCAGCCCTTCCCTCACAATTTCTACTGTATGACGCACACTCCTAGAGAGATGTTCTTTTGTAAATTTTCTACCATCCAGTTTTCCCCACAGAAATTCTCACTGGCATCCATATAACATTGGAATTCACAAAATGATAAGCCTTTCCTCTGTTTACTTCCATTCTGTAATTTAACCAAAATTAACAATCCTTTCAGAATGAGACTCCCTGCTTCAGTGAAAATTCAAGTCTTTATTATGTATATTAAGTTTCAAGACCTAAAGAGAAGTAGGCCTATTCAAAATAACCTCACCCTTTCTATGTCAGGAGGGATCCCTGGATCATCTATGAGGACAGTTCTTGGTACCTAGTGGATCAAATTGCTTGGATTTGTTCTGATTTGGACTCTAGTTGCAATCTGTTGATGTAATTGAGGCATAGTCTTGTGGTGCTGCCTGAGATGAGTTGAGGACTTTCAGCCCTGAAGCAGTGGACAGAGTTCTCAGAGCTGTGGATACAACCACCTGTATGTCATTCATTCATTCATTTCATTGACCATCCATTTCACCACTGGATACCTCTTGTAATTGGAAGCTTATAATTTTTAAGTGTCAGGTCAGACCGGGGAATTTTATAGGCCCTGGGCCACATCCAACCCTGTGTTGTCTGAAAACAGATAGTCAATTGGAATACACTTTTATTGAAATGCTCCAGTAAAAGGTCCCAACCATTAATGGGGTTGAAACCCTAAGGATAGCAAAGAGGGACACAGACGTTTTGAAGAAATAGAGAAGTAAAATTTCACAGAACCTTTTTTGGAGTTCTACCTTGTTTTTATAGTATACGTGTCTGTTCTTCGGTGGTGTTGCGTCCCTCCTGAGTATATGTGCCATTTCCCTCATAGAATTACTTTGCACAAAGCTCTATGTGTTCTTTGTCCTATTCTCAGTATCTATTGCTCATTTTTTATAACTTTGTTCCCTGCAATGTTGTTATATTTCCTTTAATTCAAACTGATAGACAGCACAGTTATATTTCTCTAAGTTTTTATTCTTTCCTAGGATGGAGGCGCATTGATTCTCAATAGATGAGCCATCACCTGTCCAACCCAAGTGAAGTCAGTTGAAAATTTGAAATGAAACATAAATAACCTCGGCACAGGAGGCAGGAGAAGAAGCTGAGTCACATCTCTCTTTGCGCAGTCGTGTGCTTTTTGAGTCAGCTGGTGGCCATGGAAGGGGGAGGAGAGAAAGTCCTCTTTTGCACCTGTGCAGCACTCACCCCTCATGTGGAGCAGCTGAGGAGTTGAGGTGATGGAGTTTGAGGACATCAAATCAGGTTACATTGATTATGTCCTCCACAACAGTTCCAATTTCTTAGGTAACTCATTGGAAAACTGAATTACCCACCCCTAGGTTAGATCCCTAATATTCCTAATTGATGAAAGCCTCCAGGGAAGCCCCTCTTTGGGAAAGAGTACAATTCCACTGGCTCTGAAAAAGGCAGTCAGGCATGCCCTTCTGCAGAAATCGTCCTTGAATCTGGCTCATCTGGACAATTTTAATTCAGTTTCCAATTTTCCCATTTGAGGTAAGGTGTGGACAATTATGGACACAGTTATGTGATACTGCTACTCCATGAGCTTCACTGACTCCCAGTAAGCTTCTGGATACAATTAAAGGTGTTGGTTAGCATATTTAAAACTCTCCATGGTATAGAACTGGGTTGGTTGGAGTACCACCTCTCCCAAAAACATCTTGGCCTATACACTCCCATAGGGAAAGTATGCTCTGGTTCCTTCCTCATTGACCTTAGGATGGGTATCTTTTAAGTGACTGATTCTATGCTCTGGAACGATCTGCCCAAGCCAATATGTGACATGCCCAATTCTGACTTTTAAGACTTGGCTTTTTACCCAGGTATTTGGGTCCAGCTGACTGGAGTCTACTTTTGCTTGTCTGATTATCTTATTTGATTATAATTGAACATTTTATGCATAGAGTAGTTCTTTAAAAAAAACTGAATAGTAATTTTTATTTGTTTATAGTTCATTTCTGTTGTGTGCCAGAATCACATTATTTGAGTTGGATGGGGCTATAAATCTATCAGATCCATCAAACAAACAAAACCAGAAATGATTTCTAAACAAAATGTTCCAGCTGCTGCTCCTTGAGGCAGAAACATACACTTATAACCCCCAAAACAGAACAAAGTATGGCAAAATATAACAAATTGTGGGAAAGTACAACCAATGCCCACTCTTTATGCCCTATCGTTGCTGAGTATAAAGATTACTCTGAAGACTCATCACTGCTTTCACAAATTTTGTTTGAGGCCAGCTAATTCCTCCAGTTTAAAAAAGTTTACTTTATTGGTAATCAGAGACAAAGACCAAATTCTAATAGTAATTTTGTCTATATGGAAAAAAGGTTGTTACTCTTGTCTTTCTTTTAATGGTTTTTATGTGTTTATTGTTTGTGTTGGCAAATAATACATTTGTTCTTCTCATATATACCTCAAGACATAGCTTATGTCTTGCTTTTAATTGCGGGTTAATTGCAGTAGTTAATCGCAGATTAGGGCCAAAGGGACACAGTAATAACAGTGATATTATATAGGTAGTATTAGTTTAGTGACCACAATTGGGACAGGTATCTCAGTCATTAAATATAGCAAAGTTAAGTGAAAGTCATGTGACTGTGACTGTGCTTACAATCCTTTGTTTTGTAGTGTCAGAAGAATATGACTCCCAATAATCATTTGAGTCCAAATGATGGGGAAGGTTTTCAAACCTTGACTCAGGAAGAAGCCAGTAAAAAGGCAAATGTTACAATTCTTTTCCCCTACTCTCCCTCCCTTTGGAATGCTCATCCTTCCACTAGGATAATTAGTAAGAAGGGAAATAATGTTTGTATTTACATTCATTGGAGAGAAAGGGATTACAAGAGAGTGAGCACACACAATTGGGGAATACTCATCAAGAATATGCTACAGCAGGGGTCCCCAACCACCGGTCCCCAGACCGGTACTGGTCTGTGGATCATTTTTTACCGGGCCACAAAGCTTGGGCACCGCCATCTTGTTTCGACAGCGCTTCTGGGTTTTCGGTTGCTTCCGGGTTTTTGGTTGGAAAGTGCTTCCGGTTTTTCAGTTGGAAAGAGGCGTTTGGGTGCTCGCGCCTTAGTTTCGTCGAAGGGGGGGCGGCTTCGAATGAAGAGCCGTCCCAATGGCGGTGGAGTCTCACGTTACTCAGGTACCGGTCCGTGGAAGAATAAATAATCGTGAAACCGGTCCCTGGTTTGAAAAAGGTTGGGGGCCACTGTGCTACAGTACCTTTATAATGGCTTGGTAAGACCACACTTGGAATACAGCATGCAGTTTTGGTTGCCACAATATAAAACAGATGTTGAGACTCTAGAAAGAGTGCAAAGAAGAGCAACAAAGATGATTAGGGGACGGAGGACCAAAACATATGAAAAATGGTTGCAGGAATTAGATATGTCTAGTTTAATGAAAAGAAGGACTAGGGGCGACATGATTGCACTGTTCCAGTACCTGAGAGCTTGCCACAAGGAGGAGGGAGTCAACCTATCCTCCAAAATAACTATTATTTGAGCACTAGGGATTGGTTCCGTGGAGGCTGGTTTTTCCGTGGAGTGTGGAGCGTGGTTTCATGCATTGGTTGTATCCTGCATGTGTATGGATGGGGCTTCACTCACTTGCATAGACTGGTGCCAGTTCATGGGCCAAGGGTTGGAAATCCCTGTTCCAAAGCAGCTGAAGGCAGAACAAGAAATAATGAATGGAAACTAAGAGAGATCTAACCCAGGAGGAATTTCTGTTATTCTATAAAAGCCTTTAATATGAAACTGATTGGATTCTTGTCAATGTCAGGCAGCAGCACCAAGAGGCCAAGGGCTGTCATCAACTAATTAAGGTCACAGAGTAGAGCTTGTTAGCTTGCAATTACCAGATTTAGGAATGCACTGTGCTATGGAGAAAAGCAGCTCAGGAAAAGAGAGATTGTTCAGATAATCTAACTGCCCCAGGGAGAGTGAGGAATAAAAAGAAAAGGAAAAAAAAACAGGACTACGTGTACTGATTGTAATGGCAATGGACAGTCACTTATCTGAAATGGCATAGGGCTTCCAACTGAGTAGGTAGTTGGAGTAGAAGACCACCAAGGTCCCTTCCAACTCTGTTATTCTGTTAAATTCTGTCATAAATGCAGGTATTGATCACAAAATTACTTTTTCATCATTGTTGCAGTTTTCAATTAGGCTCTCTGATGAGTTGTCTATGGAGATTCCTTGCCATCCAGATCATGTAACTCATCATATTGTCCCAAAGGTGCTTTTTCAAGAGGCAACTGGGCTTCTTTTGTTTTTCCTTGAAGACATTTCACTTTTCATTCAAGAAGCTTCTTCAGTTCTATCCACCTCACGCAGAACTGAAGAAGCTTCTTGGATGAGAAGAGAAACATCTTCAAGAAAAAACAAAGTTCAGTTGCCTCTTGAAAAACCACCTTTGGGACAATATGATGAGTTACAAATATGTGAAAAATATATACTCAGTATTACAGACAATCCAAAAAGACATGTAGCCTTAAAGATAGAATAAAAATCTGTTTGATTAAGTATGGGATCCCACTGAAAAAAAAATGGAGATAAATATTTTGATCATCTGCATATCAGTAAGGAGGAATTTGTCCTTCTGCTATTCTGTACACCATCAGCAACTTGTATAAAGTAGGCATGTGTGTACATGTGTTTCAGAGTAACATACTATTATGAAAGCAAAATGACCTGAAATTCAAATTAACTAGATGTAGCGGTGGTAATCACAAGCAAATGCTGTTTCATTTTTTTACATCTCAGCACAAAACCCTATTGCTCAGGCTAATTGACCTATTTCTTATTTTTTTCTTTTTTCTTTTAAATTTACAGCAGGCCTTCCCTTCCAGCTATCTAAGCTCCAGTGAAAGCTGTTCTCTACCTAGCAATAATCGTGGCAACAGCTGAGCCTTTGTAATCTCTCTTATTTTCTTCCCTCCTTTTTCCTCCACACCCCACCAGTTAGCGGTTCCAGAGGTCAAACAGCCAAGGCACCTAACACCAACAGAAATCTGCCCACAGTTCTTTCAGAATTCTATGAATATAATGTAAGAATGTCAAGAAATAGGTCTTCAGTCAAAATGAAAATAGGACTAAGCTGGCATACTGAATAGTGTCACTTCTTTTCTCCCTGAAAAATGTTATATAACCTGTAAGTTGCACTCCACAGAACAGGATGTCAGAAGGTGATAAGTTACATAGGCTATAAAACACAAAACTTTCCAACTGCCAAATACTTGTCTGAATCTGAGAAGGTTAATCCAGTTTTTTTAAAAAATGAGGAAATCTCTATATAAAATATTTTTGCACAGTGTGTGATAGGCACATGCTGGCTATTGTTTTTGCATTAGCCACCACAAAAAAAGACAACTTGAAATTAGCTCACGCTATCAAAAAGTGTTGATTGAAACTTATTGATTGTGTTCAATGGCTGCTTGATCGCTTAGCTTTTCAGTGGTTTCAGATCTAGATAAAACTGATAAAACTGATTTTCCCTCACCAATGCATAGGAAAAATTAAAGCTCAAAACTTCAGAAGCTGAAGAGATGAGAGAATGATTTTCAAAATGCTATCTTTATTTATAAAGCCAACATGCTACTTTGATAATTTATCCAATGACAAAGTCTATAGAGCTCTTACTGTGTTTTATAGCTTATTACTAGCAAGGAATACATAGTCAAGAGCATTTGAAACCCAGACTTAGTTTATCATTTCGTGCAGGCCTGTCCATTTCCTTCATTTGTCCCCCTTTTCAGTTTGTTCCTACGCATCTAAAAGATGAAATCCAGTGTTCGTTTCTTTAAAAAAAGATTTTTCAATGCAAGCCTTTTTATGTAATACTTTTAACAGATTAAAAAACTAGGCAGTACGTATATAATATTCAACCATGGGTCATAGAAAAGATGGATTTAATGGCCTGATAATTTTCTGATTTGCACCCAGGACATCAGAAATAAATATTTAGACTGTGAAAAGCAATAATCACCAGGGTTAGCTTTGGTTTCCTTGGACAATGATAAGAAAAAGGAACATTAACTGTCTAATATGATTAGAAGAGAAGGTCCAAATTATTGTTCTCCAAAGATTGTTCTCTGTAAAGAACAATGAACATGAACTGAACTTCCGAATCTTATCCAAACAGGTAGTAAAAAATTATCTCATCAGGTGGTAGCACTGCTCTAATTTTGACTTCTCTCAGAAGCTAAACTCTAGTTCAGACTGACTGGGGAATTCTGGAAGGTGAAGTCCACATATCTTAAAATTGCCAATGTTGAGAAACATTGCTGTAGTTAATATTTTGATGGAGGACTTCCTATGTACTCTACAGCTGTGGGTTAAATTGAGAAATCAAAAACTACACTGGAAGAAGCCAGTGACAAACCTGTTTAGCAGTCCTGTCAGGAAAACTGCATTGATTGCAGTTGCTATGAGGCGGCCATAAGAACTTAGTTACTGATAAATAAATGGTTCAACTGTACTAAACTGTAAGTTTTATTTGGAATTCTGTCTGGAGACTGTAGTCCTCTTGTTTTCCACTCGATTTCTCTTTTTGTTTTTCAGTTAGGTCTTTTTTATATCTAGAGATTTGGCAAGATTGCACATTGACATAGATATTCCTTATGTTTTAGGACTAGCACAGCATTTGTTAAATTCTATAATTAGGTGACATCTGCTTATCAGTTTTCCTAGTAAACTGCATTCCAGAGTCTCCTATGCAATTGCATTTTCTATTCTGCATAACGTATCCATTATATTGGAGAAATAAAAGACAGATAATCTCTTTGTAACTGGCTAGATATGCATCTCTGTTTAAAGTACATTTGTCCTATTTGTTGAACCACATATATCATAAGTAGTTAGTGGCAATATGATTGAAATAAAAGTGTAATTTGCACAAACTGAAAATAAATACCCTAATTTAACACTCATGCATTGGTGGTATCGCTGAAATAAAAGTGTAGTTTGTACTAAATTATATTATCCTTTTTGCCTTCATGCATAGCCACTTTGTTTATAATACATTTTTGCAACAAGATAAAGGAACCTGTTTCTGTTGGCATAATGACTAGTGGGAAGAATAAATGAATATTCAGTATTTAAATACAAAATATTCATTTGTGTCTGATTCTAAGATTCTACTTGGATAAAGTCCTTGCAATTTTTTGGCAAGGGTTTTTAGAAGGGCTTTGCCATTGGCTTTATACAAGGACCGAGAGATAGTGATTGGGCCAAGATCACCCAGCCAGCTTTGTGCTTAAAGCAGGATTAGAACTCACAGTATCCTGGCTTCTTGCCTGATGTTTTAACCAACCACACCAGATTGCAAAACTGCATGTTTACATAGGAAACTGCAAAATCTAGTCATGCCATGTTCATCTAACCCAGAGCTGTCAAACTCCTGGCATGTGCTGGCCATGCCTACACCCGGTTTAGCGAAGGAGAAAGAAGTCCTGATATGTCATGTGACACTGCCATGATGACGTGAGTTTGACACCCCTTATCTAACCCAACAGGATCAACAAAACCAGCTTCAGTTCAAGTTTTGAGACAGTTTTCTCTAGTCCAACATAGATATATTGAGGATTTAATTTAGGACCTGCTGCATACAAAGCATTTTATTCTGAGTTACAGCAAATTTTTGAATTGAAAGTGATAACAGATGCCAGATCCACATGTTTGTTTTAGACAATAGAATGTCTTAATTCTATATAAAAAAGTATGGCATCACCCTTTTTAATAAGGCATCTCCTTATTTTGCCAGCATAACTCAGGATTTCATTGACATTTTGCATGGCAATAACATGTAACAATACTTTTCCAAAATAACTTATTGGATTATATCCTAATATAATCTGTTTTAAATGTGTGTTTCTGTGTAAGAAACAGAGACTAACAATAAATGAGTCATAGGCTCATTTTTGGATAATACAAACAATAGCAGACTGATGAGGAATGTATTTCATCCTTACTTTTCGCTTAATAGTTACAGAAATAAAGCTTTAGTTTTACTATGATAAAGTCCTCAACCTATTATATTCCCTATGTTATAAATAGCTTGTTTTATTTCCCAATCTCTAGGCTCATTCCTATTGATCAGTTTTCTGCTTTGAATTACAAATGGCCCTTGCTTATTTAGGTTTCTCTTTGAGGTACAGTAGACAGGAGATGCAACTGCCATTCAGTTAAGCTACTACTTTGACCAAACTGGTGACAGGTTCTGCTGGTGGCCTGCTGTATTCACTTCAGGTATGCTATTGAATTCCAGATCTTTATTTTCACACAACCTTTTACCCTAACAGCTCTTTTGCACTGCTGTGTTTGGTTGTGTCTTGGACATTTCTGTTCTGTCTGCTTGAAGACAAAGATTTCTATTCTTGGACTGACCATTGCTTCTTTACAGCTTTGTTTTGTTGCAAGATCTCTTCTTCTCATTGTCCTGACATTTCAGCTATTTCTCTTCTTTGCTGTCACATTTCTTGTCATCTTCTACCTTCAACTTGAGTCTTCTTTCTTCCTTCTGATAAATCTAAGTGTATACCCTCTCACACACCCACACCCCACACAGAGAGACAGACAGACCGAGAGAAGGAGAAAGAGGGAGGGAGGGAGGAAGGGAGGGAAGGAGGAAGAGAAAGAGATTGTTTTTAGGAACAACTCCCATCTTAGCTTGCCTCACTGTGAATTCTTTATCAATTATCAAGAAAGTACTGGAGTGTCTGTCACTTTTAGAACAATTGTGAACCAACCGGAGAGGGACCACTTGAACTTACCCTAAATTTTGCTTCTAACAAAAAATACTTGGGGTGGTAGAAGTAGTAATGGAAGAGTATTCATCTTCCAGACTTTTGTATGTGAGCTTCTTCCCTCATACTTATTTGTATTCCTTGAGAAACTTTTACTTTGTTTCTGGTCACCATATGAATCCAATGTTAATAAGTGTATCAGACATAACATCATTAAAAAAACATTCTATATTGGCTTGATTGTATGTATGAAGCAAGGGATAAAATTTGGAAGAGTAGCCCAGCTGTTTATATGTATAACTTCTAGTAGTCATGACTGGAAACTATGTACAGGAATTTCTCTGTTATAACATATGAAAATGATTGTCTGAGTGCTATGATGCCTAAGTATACGTCATCTATAAAAGATTTGTCTTTTTATGTAAGAAAAAGTGATCCTTTTCAGACCTAAATATACCCATGGCTTCTAGCATTCATTTTACTTTTTATTTGAGGCACATCTTTTTTATAAGCTGCTGTGAGAAAATTAGAAAAAGAACATTTATTAGACAGTGAAATGACTGGTGTTAAATTCAAGAGCTTTGGGGAAAAAAACAAATTAATAAATGATAACTATTTCAGGTACAATATTTTTTTCTGACAATGAATGCTGACTTATTTTTCTCCCATTTATTATGGAGAACTATAAGACTAAAAGAAATTATCTTTTTTGTACAAACAGTCGAAGAGCATAAACATTAATTTTTAGTTAGATGCATCTTTGTAAAAACATTCTATATGGCCAATAGCTCGTTAGACTTCTGGAAGATTGCAGATTGCTTAACTATTTATATTTAGGCAAAGATTTTTAACAGGTTGCAAATGTTTGTATCTTAAAAACCTTCCCAGGCATGAATATTGCTCAGCAAGAGCCCTTGTGTTCAGAAATATAACCCAAAATATTAACATTGATATTTTTTTCTCACTCATCATTGATACTAATAGTGTACTGCAGAATTAAATATACACAGTAAAACATAGAACTGGAAAAAAAAAGAAAGAAAAATTAAGAAGGGATAAGCTATTTTAGCATATCTCATGATCTGTATGTAAATAGGTATTAGAGCTAAATAATGTTTTGATGATTTGTATTATTTTTGTGAAGTAGTACTGTGCTTTTGCTCTCCGGTTTAGAGCTTCCAAATAAATTTCCCTCAGTTTGCTTTGCCATTAATTAAGACTGTAGGACATGACTATGCAGAGCCTGGGCCAAACACAACAGTTTGGAGTTGCTATGGTCCCACGAGAGACTCCAGTCTCCCATGAATTCTGTTGACTGTTATTTAGTGCCAATTTTTCCTTGACCATTCGGAGATCAGATTCTTGTGTATAGGTAGCATGTAATAAACTTGAAGTGCTTTGAACTAAACTCCTGTTCCTGGTTATTTGTGCCCAATACAGACTACCTAAATTTGGGAAGTATGTGTCTACTGTGTTGTCTTTTCTACTCTTGGATGGAAACACTGTCTGTACTGAAGGATAATTGTATCTTTTACAGATTCACAATGATCTACCTTTTCCCCTTCATTAGAATTCAGTATTTAAATTAAGAAAATACATGCATACACATGTTTGATGGGAATTTTGTGTCAAATTCTGCAACTTGCTAAAGTACTAAAGTGCTAAATCCTGATTTTCTGAATCTTGAAATTATTTTTCCTTCTTGTATGTTTGGCTTTTTATTGCCATAGGCATTGCTTCACATTTCATGTATTTTTTGGCAGTCTTAAGAACTAGGAATCTTGAAAATGTGTGTGTGTGTGTGTGTGTGTGTGTGTGTGTGTGTGTGTGTGTTATCAACATAGAATGAGGTGTATGACAAGGTGATACAATATCACCTATCCTTTTCTCAGCCTGCCTTGAAGAAATTTTTCACCAACTAGCAAAAGATGGAATAAAAATCAATGATGCCTATTTAAATCACTTAAGATATGCAGATGATGTTGTTTTCTTCTCACAAGATCCAGAAGAAACATATACAAGAGCTGTACAAAGTAGGAGAATCATTTGGCTTAGAAATAAATACACATACATACATACACACATATACATATACATATATACATATATACATATATACATCATATATACATATATACATATATACATATATACATATACATATACATATACATATACATATACATATA